TTTTTTTTTTTTTTTTTTTTTTTGTACTTGTGAATTCTTAGATTCCCTCACTGGAAAGATAATGTTAACGCTACTTAATTTTCTCTTCTCCAATCAGCAAACATGTATTTATTGTTTATTTTTAAAATTTTTATGATTATATTCATCATGGGGATGTACTTAATTTTCTTACTCTTCTGGTCCTGGCATTTGAGGTATCCTTCTTTTGTTGCTTACTTTGTTTTATTTAATGAAATTGTCTTGATCTTTGCACTGTGTCAAACCTCAGTGAAACATTGGGTCATTCAGGTTTTTATTTTACAGATTGATTGAATATCTGGGAATAAGGTAGTGTGGCAAAGGAAGTTTAATCAAAGAGCAGAAATTTTAGATTCACTAGATTGGTTCCATAGTCTAGGTAAAAATGAAAAGGAAGGTTAAAGGTTTTTACATACCATTAATCTGCCCAGTCATCTTGTTTTGCTGTAAAAATCTCTGTACTTTTTAGAAAAAAATTAAGCTAGGCCTTGTGGGTGTGCCAAAGCAGAGAGCAACCCACTCCTGAGTCACAGCATACCCATTATTAATGAATGTGTAGGCTTGGAAAAAATTATTTTTTTTAACTAAGATTTTCTTTAAGTTATTGAAAATAAGAAAAATGACTTCAGTTGCCACCACTTTAACTTTATCTTATGAATTACATACTGTAATTAAGCAACAGAGTAGAGTTTGAAATCCTTCTCATAGTAGTCATGCCACTAAAAACCTGAATATGTCAGTGTGTGGAAGATCTCCTGAGATGTTGAGAAAACAGCTGTGAAGAAGAATTGATTTTTATGTGTGTTTCTGGAAGGTGCTGTTGGCAGCAGCAGTCTGCACAAAAGCAGGAAAGGCTATTGTTTCACGACAGTTTGTGGAGATGACCCGAACCCGGATTGAGGGCTTATTAGCAGCTTTCCCAAAGCTCATGAACACTGGAAAACAGCATACGTTTGTTGAAACAGAGAGTGTAAGATATGTCTACCAGCCTATGGAGAAACTGTACATGGTACTGATCACTACCAAAAACAGCAACATTTTAGAAGATTTGGAGACCTTAAGACTCTTCTCAAGAGTGGTAAGTGTCTTTCTGTAATGGGTTCTTTTTATTGTGTTTTACATGTTTTTGTGTGTGAAATTAGTTTTTTCTTCAAAGCGGTTGATGCCTGTCACTTTATAGGTTCTGTATTCTCCATCCTAGTGGCGTATGCTCTAGCTTCTTATTAAGTCAGCAGCCATGTGTGGGCTACCCTCCTAAAGTATCCTGAAAGAGAATATAGGAATTACTTTTTCATGTACCATTTCTGTAGTTACTCAAATTTACCTTTGTGATTTTGAAACTTTTTTTGGTAATATTTTTAAATTTTATTTATTTATTTTTGGTTTTTTGAGACAGGGTCTCATTGTATAGTTGAGACTGACCTGGAACTCAATATGTAGCCCAGGCTGGACTCAAACTCAGAACGATCCTCCTGCCTTAGCCTCCCAAGTGCTGGGATTACAGGCATGTGCCACCACACCCGGCCCCATTCATATTTTTTAGATAAAATTTAAAGATACAGGGCCAGGGATGTAGCTCAGTGGTTCTGACACCTGCCTTGCAAGCACAAGGACCTGAGTTCAATCCCCGGTACCAAAAAAAAAAAAACCAAAAACACTTAAAGATGCACAAAAACACGTAGTTTATAATAAGACTATCCCAGGGTGGTGGTGCATGCTTGTCCTAGCACTTGGGAGGCTGAACCAGGAGGATAACTGCAAATTTGAGGCCAGCCTTAGCTACATAGTGAGTTTAAGAACATCCTGAACTGCATAGCGAGACCCTGTCTCAAAAAAGAGACAGACAGACTAGAAGGAGATAATAAAGGGATTTTTTTTAACTGAAAAGACTTAGAAACATAGCTTCTGATAAACTCTAAAACTTCTTTTCCATTGCTATCTGTTAATAGATTCCTGAATATTGCCGAGCCTTAGAAGAGAATGAAATATCTGAGCACTGTTTTGATTTGATATTTGCTTTTGATGAAATTGTTGCCTTGGGATATAGAGAAAATGTTAACCTGGCACAGATCAGAACCTTCACAGAAATGGATTCTCATGAGGAGAAAGTGTTCAGAGCAGTCAGAGAGGTAAATGGGGTCTTCTCTGGGATTGGCAGCTTGAATGTCTCTCTTGGCTTGTGATAATTTGATTTTCCCATTTTTACTTGCTTATGTAGACTGTACTCAAAGCTACATACATGTATATGTTGTTCTGTAGACTCAAGAACGTGAAGCTAAGGCTGAGATGCGGCGTAAAGCAAAAGAATTACAACAAGCCCGAAGAGATGCAGAGAGACAGGGCAAAAAAGCACCAGGATTTGGGGGATTTGGTAGCTCTGCAGTTTCTGGAGGCAGCACAGCTGCCATGATCACAGAGACCATCATCGAAACTGAGAAACCAAAAGTGGCACCTGCACCAGCCAGGTATAATCCAGTGTTTTACCAGCAAACCTAGTATAATAGAGGAAGGCTATATATGTACATCTTTGGAGTGATATCTGACTTCTAGGCAAGCTATAAATAATGAGTAACTTGATAAAGTCAGATATGATAATAAATTTGGCTTTTAAAAATATGGGGTGATGATACATGCTGGTAATATCAGCACTTGGAAGGCTAATGTAGGAAGATCACAAGTTTGAGTCCTGCCTGGGCAGTTTAGTGAGACTCTGTCTCAAAAAAGACTTGTAACCAGGTATGGTGATACATGCCTATGACTCGGGAAATTGAGACAGGAGGATTGCTGCAAGTTCAAGACCAGCCTAAACTACGTAGCATGACCCTGTCTCAATACATTTAAAAGGGGGTAGTGCTGGATGTGTTAGTGCACACCTGTAATCCCAGCATGCTGGGAGGCTGAGGTAGCAGGATTGCAAGCTCCAGCCCAGCCTAGGCAATTTAGTGACTTGATGAAATCCTGTCTCAAAATAAAAAAGGGCTAGAGATGTAGCTCAGTACAAAGGCCTGGTTCAATCCCCAGTACTGCCCCCAAAAAAGGAAAATTAAAAAAAGTTGAGGATGGGGCAGTTGTGGTGGTACTTATCTGTAACCATAGCATTTGGGAAACTGAGGCAGGGGGATCATTAGTTCTGCCTGGGCAGCTTAGGGAGATCTGTATTGTGAGGGGGTACATATCTGAATGTGCTGTTTTCCTGTGGCATAAAGAGAAATCTTTTACAAATTATGCCGTGACCTCAGTTTTCTATGAAAGTTGCCTCATTTGGGAAAGGGAGGAAATATTTAACTGTTTATAAAATATGGTTTTTAAATTCTTAATGTTCAAGGAGAATCTTTGAACTACCTGAAATTATATACATAATTTTGTTTGTTCACAGTTACATTTATCTGGATGGAAGGCACAGGGTTTTTATCATACCATGTATGACCATAAAAATACACCTTTGATCTTTGGGTTCTTGAAGCTTACATATTAATAATGATAGCTTTGGGCTGGGGATTTAACTCAATGACACCGTGCCTGCCTCACATGTGCAAAGTCCTGAGTTTATTAATCCCTGGTACTGGGGAGAGAAAAAAAAAAGATAGGTTCTTATTGGGCCATCAATAGTGCAGTTTTTTCCCGTGTTATCTTCACATTCCTCTTAAAGAATAGCTTCAGGGAAAGGTTCTTTGAAATGGCATCAGTAATAAAAGTTTGGGGCATTTTGTTTTGTTATGAATTTTTTTGTTTTGTATTTCCTTCACCTAGGCCTTCAGGCCCCAGCAAGGCTTTGAAACTTGGAGCCAAAGGAAAGGAAGTAGATAACTTTGTGGACAAATTGAAATCTGAAGGTGAAACTATCATGTCCTCTAATATGGGCAAACGTACCTCTGAGACAACCAAAGTTCATGTTCCACCTGTTAATATGGAGAGGTAAGTGGTAATTTTTTTGGTAAGGACAGACAATAGAATTTTTAAAAAATTTTCTTTTTCAGTTGCATAAATTGTTTTTGTAGTGGTGTTCGTTTTATGCTAAGGATCAAACTCAGGGCCTTGTGCAAGCCACACCACATGGTCTACCACTGAGCTATACTCCCAGCTCGTTTGTGTGTGTGTGTGTGTGTGTGTGCTTTTTAATCTTTCCCTATTTAAAAGGTTTATTCAGAGCATGTTCTAGTTATTAACCTATGGTCTTTTGTTTTTTCTTCTTTAGCCACAATTGGATGCTCTGAGTCATTTATTTATGAAGTTTAGAACTTGCCTTATATTAGCTAAATTAAATAAAAATGACTTGTCTGCATTTGTAAAATGTAGCTTATGTTGTTTTAGGATGGCACAGAAATAACTTTTCTTAAGCTTGTCTCTCTCTTGTTTTTTTTTTTTTTTCTTCTTTTTTTTTTTTTTTTTTTTTTTTTTTTTTTTTGTACCGGGGATTTAGGCCCTTGCACTTGCGAGGCAGGCGGCAGAACCACTGAGCCAAATCCCTGGTTTAAGCTTATCTCTTAAGATGCACTTGGGTTAGAGGATTAAAATTTGATAGCCCCACAGTAACTTTTGTCTTTTTTGATGCCTTTTTCTAATTAAACTATAGAAGAGACAAACTGTAAACCAGAATTTGTAAGTATCTTTAATAGCAAATTAACGTATTTTTTTCCTTTTAAGTATTTGAGCCCAGTATTTTGCATCTCAGGGCTAAGGCGGTGACATATTTGAGTGGTAATAAAGTTTACATATTCATGACTCAGATTTCCTCTCTTGAAACCCAGGCCACCTTCTCTGGCTGATGGCTGCGGTCAAGTGAAAGATGAGTCTGGGATGATACCTCTATCGGGTGTGCATAAAAGGATAGTGTTTACTCTCTATATGTTCTATTCTGTATGAAGTACACTGTTACATATGGATAAAAACTGACTCAGCTAAAGTTCCTGTGCTATTCCTAGTGGTTGCTTTTAGTAAGATAGAAGCTTCACATTTTTAAACGTGTTAGAGACCATTACATTTTAGAGCTTGAGACTTCTACATGAGATATCTCTTGAGCATAGAGAAAACTTTTATGAAGATAAAGTGAAGTTTTCCTTGTTATATATTCCTGTAGTATAAAATTAAAAGGTTCAAATTGCATTACTATAAAAAATCTTCCTTCCACCTACCATGCAAGGTTTTAGTTGTAGAGTCAATTTAAAGTAGTTTTTGTGTGTGTATCCTTTTGAGGGGATAGTCTACAGAGTATAGGTGAGTAAGAACATAGGTATGTATCTTTTTCTAATTCTTTTTTTTTTTTTTTAGTACTGGGTATTCAACCCTGAGATACTAAATTTTTTTTATATAAAGCAACAGCATACTAGATTCATTCTCAAATACCTGATTTTTTTAGTTTAATTTTTAAAAATATTTATGTTACATATTAACAGTACATAATGATTACATTCATCGTGGGGAGTTGGTATATATATATATGTGTGTGTGTGTGTGTGTGTGTGTGTGTGTGTGTGTGTGTGTAACATCTTAATTCTTTTTTTTTCTTTTATTGACTGTATTGGTACATTTTAGGTATACAGTAGAATTACATTCATTATTGGGATCTTGTACCTTTACATGGGTCTTGGTTCTCATTTTTTCCCCTTGTCCCTGCCCTCCCTTCACCCCCTCCCCCCCATTTACAAACACTTTATTTCCATTTTTTCATTTTGTCATATTTTTTTCTTTACCCTTATTACCTTTCCCCTACCCTTCCAATTTTCCCTACACCTTTAGCCCTTCCTATTTCACATGGTCAATTATCTCATTAGGATCTTATGTACTGTTATAGCTTTTCACACCAGAGAAACTATTCGGTATTTACACATGTGTGACTTATTTATTTCACTTAGGTGTATATCCTCAGTATGTATCCATTTTCCTATGAATGAATCTTAATTTCTCATTCTTTATGGCTGAGTAGTATTCCATTTTATAGAAAAACCACATCTTTATCCAGTTCCCAACCGATGGGCAAAATAGGCTTTTTCCAAGATTTAGCTATTACAAACTGTGCCACTATAAACATGGGTGCGCATATATCAATGTGGTATGAGTCTTTTAATTCTTTTGGAAAGATATCCAGCAGAGGGATGGCTGGGTCAAATGGAACCTCTAGTCCCAGCTCTTTGAGGTATCTCCATATTGATTTCCATAGTGGTTGTACCAGTCTGCATTCCCACCAACAATGGAGAAGGGTTCCACATCTTAATTCTTTATATTCCTCTTCCCCACCTCTTTCCATCTTTCCATCTCTTCCTTTTTCCTTAATTTAGAGGTAATTCTAATTGAGGGCTAGAGAGTAGCTCAGTATAGAGTGCTAACATAGTGTGTACAAGGCCCTAGGTTCAATCCCCAGTACCACACAGAAGATGAGGAAGAGAAAGTCCTTATTTAAAGCTATAGAGACATGACATCTGTCTAAATGTAATATCTTAACCAGATGTTTTAGTCCGTGCCTATAATCCTAGCACTCTCGGGGGCCAAGGCTCAGGATGATCATAAATTTGAACCCAGACTGGGCAACTTAGTGAGACCCTGTCTTAAAATGAAAGAACTGGGGTTGTAGTTCAGGAGGTAGACCCTGGGTTTGATCCCCAATACCACAGAAAGAAAAATTAAAAAGTAATACTTTGCTCTGAATTGGATCCTATACTACTATACGACTTTTATTAGGTCAACTGACAATGGTTGGTAGATTGCATAAAAGTATTATTATATTAATGTAAATTTGTAAAGTTTATAATGGTACTGTGATTATGTAATAGAATATCCCTGTGTATATCTTTGTGTAATTTTTATTTTTAAATTTAATGTTTTCAAATAGTTAAAATTTTCTCACAGCTATCTCATATCCATTTGCGTGGCCATACCTTTATCTTTATACATATAAGCCCCTCCCCAGTTGGACATTTAAACTTGCTATTACAAATAGTTCTTCAGTAAGTAACTTGGTACATTGTTTTCACAGGTGAGAATTGAGGATGAATTGAGGATGAATTCTAGAGAATGGCTCCATCAGAGAGAATAATACTTTAAATTTGATACAGCACCAGCACCTTTAAAAAAAGTTGTTCATAGCAAATCACCATTATACCCTAGGAAAGGGGATTTCTGGTTTCTACCTTCTAAGCACATTTTTTACTTTTTTATAGTGTGCATATGAAGATTGAAGAAAAGATCACTCTAACCTGTGGACGAGATGGAGGACTACAGAATATGGAGTTGCATGGCATGATCATGCTTAGGATCTCAGAAGACAAATTTGGCCGAATTCGTCTTCATGTGGAAAATGAAGATAAGAAAGGAGTGCAGCTACAGGTGTGTATATAGACTTCTCTTTACCTTGTACACTCTTATGTGTGTGTATGGGTATAGCAGATTGAATCTAGGGCATCACACATGCAAGAGAAGTTCTCTATCACTGAGCTGCATCCCTGGCACCAAGCAAAGTCTCTCTCAACTAGAGTGCCTCAGATGAATGAGAACATAGAATTATTTTTTTTTTCTTTTTTGATACCAGGGATCTCAGGTCCTTGTGCTTGCAAAGCAGGTGGCTAACCCATTGAGATAAATTCCCGGCTCAGAACATAGAAAATTATCTTACATAGCTAGTGGCATTCTAGTAAATCTGGATGCATAGGAAAGAAGTTAATTTTTTACATATAGTGGTTAATGAGAATGATTGACAGCAGCTGTTTTAGATTTAATTTTTATTTTTTGCAATACTGGGGATTGAATTCAGGACCTTTGCTCTAAGGTACATCCCCAGCTCTCTTTTCTTTTTATGTTGCAACAGGGTCTCATTCAATTGCTAAGCTGCCTCAGGTGGCCTCAAATTTGTGATCATCCTACCTCACCCTCCCAGAGTGTTGGGATGTAGGTGTGATGACACATGCCTGTAATTTTAGGTACTTGGGAGGCTGAATCAAGAGGGCAAGTTCAAGCTCAGCCTGGCAAACTTAGTAAGACCCTATCTTAAAAAAGTAGAAAGGTCGGGGATCTAGTTCAGTGGTAGAATGCCTCCAACTTTGATCCCCATTATTGCAAAAACAAACATAAAAACAAAAAACAAAAATCTAAACTGAGCATGGTAGCTCACACCTGTAACCCCATCACTCAGGAGGCTGAGGCAGGAGGATTGCCAGGAGTTCAAGGCCAGCCTGGGTTCCATAATGGTACAAGGCCAGCCTGTACTGCATAGGCAGGCCCTGTCTCAAGATTTGGGAGCTTAGTGGTAAAGCTCTTGCCTAACCTGTGAAAGTTCATGGATTTGATCTCATCACCATTAAAAACAAACACAAACCCCAATTGTTTTATAATTTAATAAGAACATATTAAATTTAGTCATTCTATCCCTTTATAAACTACCAGTGCTTATTTTATTAGCTGAATGGTAATATCTAGTGGTATATTTGTAGTGCTCATAAAATCCTTACAAAATAGATATGTGTGTTCCAACTGTTGCACGTGATTGAGCCATTTTTGTCATTGTCAAGTTTTTCTTGTCTCATTTTATTTAGATGGTTGATCTTACTCTCTGTTGTCAAGGTACTAAGCTTTTTCAGGGAAGAATGTTTTTGTCTACTTTTCCCATATCAGTATTGAGTCCTACTAGCACTACTTTTGGTAGTGTTTATATCATTTAACAATTATCTTGCTGGCTGTTACAATATACTTAGACTGCTATACAAAAGTGACTTTTTTTCTTTTTTCCTCAAAATAGAATTTTTTTTTTTGGTGGTAGCACTATTGGAGGTTGAACCCAGAACCTTGAATATCTGTGCAAGTGTTCTACCACTGAGTTACATCCCAGCTGTTTTTAATTTCGAGGCAGGGTGTCACAAAGTTATTCAGGGTGGCCCTGAATTTGTGTCCTCCTGCCTCAGCTTCCAGAATAACTGCATTCACAGGTATGCACCACAGTTTCTTTTTAAAAAAGATTAGACTCAGCCCGGGTATTTAGCTCAGCAGTACCACGCCTGCCTTGCAAGCACAAGGTCCTGAGTTTGATCCCTGGTACCAAAAATAAAAAAATTATTTGCCTTAAATATAGGGGCTGGGATTTAGCTCAGTGGTTCTGCCATCTGCCTTGCAAGTGGAAGGTCCTGAGTTCAATCCCCAGTACCCAAAAAACAAAAACAAAAGATGAGAGTCAGGCATGGTAGTATGTCCGTAATTCCAGCACTTAGTAGGCTGAGGGAGGAGGTCCATGAGTTTTAAGTCCAGTCTGGTCTATGTAGCAAGACTTTTGCCTCAAAAAACTGAAAATGTTAAAAAAAAAAAAAAAAAAAAAGAAGGTGCTACTCTTAGTTGGCCTGAGTTTGAACCACCTAGGCAAAACTACAACTAGTCTTTAGAGAGAGTTTTCTTCTTTCTTGCCTCTTTATATAAGGCCAGCACTGCTATGTGACTCTTGGAAAGGACTTGGCTATAGGTTAAGACAGGATCTTGCTACATAGTTCAGGCTGGCCTGAAACTCATGGTGATCCACCTGCCTCAGCCTTCTGAGTGCCTCAGGAATACAGGTCTGTGCTACCATGCCTAGCTAAAAAAATTTTTTTTTTCTTTTTTTTTTTTTGCTAAATTTTTAATTACTGAATTTAATGTCTTTGAAGGAGGAAAATATTTCTTAAAAAATTAAAAATAATTGGAGGTTTACTTGGAGAGTACTTGCCTAACATTTGTGAGGCCTTGGGTTTAATCTCCAATACTGAGAAAAAGATTTATTAGGTACCTTATTTTATTTGTCTATCCCATAGGCTGTGGAAGCCCAAAGGGGGTTTATTTCCTGTCTTACCATTTCTAATGTGCTTTTTTCCTTTCCTTCTTATTCCAGACCCATCCAAATGTGGATAAAAAACTTTTCACTTCAGAGTCCCTAATTGGCTTAAAGAACCCAGAAAAGTCATTTCCAGTCAATAGTGATGTAGGGGTGCTAAAGTGGAGACTACAAACCACAGAGGAATCTTTTATTCCACTGACAAGTAAGTGCCTCTGGACATTTCCACTGGTCTACACTGAGAACTAGAAATGGCCCTGGCTTGTATGCTTTTATCTTCATTGCTGTAGCAAAATTATTTTTGACAAACTGACCTGCTTTCAAGTGGATTTGGAGCTGGATATGGTAGGATGCACCTGTAATCTCAGCACTCTGGGAAGCAGTGGCAGGAAGATCACAAGTTCAAGCCCATCCTGGGCAATTTAATGATACCCTGTCTCAAAATAAATGATTAAAAAAAAAACAAAAAACCCCTGAGTTGGGTGTGGTGGCACACACCTGAAATCCCAGCACTCAGGAGGCTGAGGCAGGAGGATCACTGTGAGTTTGAGACCAGCCTGGGCTACATAGTGAGTTCCAGGTCAGTCTCAGCTACATAGTGAGACCTCATCTCAAACCAAACAAAACAAAACAAAACCTGAGAATGTAGCTCACTGTGAAGGCCCTGCATTTGGTCCCCAGTACTGAAAAAGAAAAAAAAAATGACTTGGTGCTATTGCTACATTTTGTATATTTTTCTTTCTTTCTTTTTTTTTTGGTACCAGGGCCAGAACTTGGGACCTTGTACTTGTGAGGCAGGTGGCAGAACTGAGCTAAATTCCCGGCTCTACATTTTGCATTTTGTATACTTTAATCATTTACTTTTTTTTTTTGTAATGATGTTACAGGTTCTCATGTTGTTAAGGCTGGCCTTGAAACTCACAGGGATCCTCTTGCTTCAGCCTCCAGAGTGCTAGGATTATGGGCATGCCACCACTCCCAGCTAAATTTTATTTTAAATATAGTTTATAGGAAGATGTTTTAGGCCTACAGTTATCAGTCAGTTTGGATTTGCCATTGTAACTTTTCCCACCCTTCATCCTAGCTGAGCAGTGAATCTATTCTTTTTCTAATCTTCTAATATGACTGCTTTGCTTTCCTCCTCAGTTAATTGCTGGCCCTCAGAAAGTGGAAATGGCTGCGATGTCAACATAGAATATGAGCTACAGGAAGATAATTTAGAGCTGAATGATGTGGTTATTACCATCCCACTCCCGTAAGTGGTGTGTGCCCCCCCCATACCACATTCCCTACATTGGCCTATGGAATTGGTCTTTGGAACTCATTTTGGAGGAGGCACCTTATTTTATTGTCTGTTTATTCTAAGATAGTTGCTTCTTAGAAGAAGGTTTTTTACTATTAAGAAGCCTTGAGTCAGGGATTTAGCTCATTGCCACTGCGCCTGCCTTGAAAGTGTACCAAAAAAAAAAAGCCTTAAGGCTTCCAGGTGTGGTGGTGCATGTTTGTAATCCCAGCACTTGGGAGGTTGAAGCAGAAGTGTCACCTCATGTTCAAGGCCAGCCTGTCTCAACCAAAACAAATAAAAAATCCCATAAGGCTACCTACTGAATAATTCCATTTCTCTGACTATCTGGAGAAAGTGGTATTCCTGAAACAAATCGGGAGGTAGAAAAGCAGATACTTCACTGTAAAGGAGTGGAAGGGGACTTGGGAGATGATTGAAATGTACAGGCTGGCTATAGTGGTCCTCACAAGACTTCATGTATTTGTCACTGAGCTGTATGTACACTCTAGAAGGGGTAGGTTTTATTAACTTTAAACCCAAACAAAAAGGTTCTAGTTGAGGTAATTTTCAGATATTCATATAATCTTGGCTTGTTTGTGTATTAACAAAGATTTCCAGAAAGAGGAGCTACTTTTCTAACTTCCTATTTTGTTTTTGCAACTTTCAAAGAAATTGAGCCCACCAGATTGAATTTTTCTTTTTCACTTCCTTTCTAAACTCTTTAAAAATGATGCTGAGGCCAGGGATTTAGTTCAGTGGTTCCACTACCTGCCTCGCGAGGCACAAGATCCTGAGTTTGATCCCCACTACCAAAAAGGAAAACAAGCAAACAAACAAACAAACAAACTAAATGTAAAAATGTTGTTGAGTGTGGTGGCGCATGCCTGTAATTCCAGCACTTGGGAGGCTGAGGGAGGAGAATCACTGCAACTTTGAGGTCAGTCTGGGTTACATAGTGAGTTCAAGGCCAGCCTGGACTACATAGTGAGATTCTGTCTCAAAAAAAATAAATAAAAATGAGAGTGTGTTCAGTGGAACTTTTGATTTTTTTTTTTTTTTTTAAGTTTTTGAGTCTTGCTGAAAGTAAGTACCTACATTATTTTAAGTAAATTTTCTAACAGCTTTGTTAAGGTATAATTAGAATAAAACTACTACATGTATTTAAATTGTGTGGTGTGCTAAGTTTTGCCATACCTTTGAAACCATCAGCACAACAGAAATACCTGTTATTCCACCAAATTCATTTCTCATAATTTTTGCTGTGTACTTAAATGACCTGTCCTGTACCATCATCTGGAAATACTCTGTCACTTAAGTTTGTTTCTTGTTTCATGATTAATACAGCATTTAATTATGAACATTAGTAAATGTATTATTTACTATTGTATTACTCATAGTATTAGTGTTATATTGTAGGGGAAATGATGCTAACTTTATTCGTAGTTTTGTTCTCTTTTTGATAACTCAGCCCTTTACATTGTCCAGTCTGGTCTTAGATATTCTTATATCTGTGTGAGTGTGATGCTGGGGATAGAACCTAGGGCCTTACACGTGCTAGGCAAGTGCTCTGTCATCCTCCTCCTATCCATTTTAAAAAATACTATGTGCCTTATTACCAATATCCCCTTGAATTAGGGTAACCACCTTTTTCTTCACAGATCAGTTACTTTTTCAGAACAGTAGATAGTTGCCTTAAACCATTGTAGGACTTGAACACTGGAAACAGGTGGGGTTTTGTTTGTCAAGATTTATTTTACAGGACTATTTTTAGGATACCACAGGTTTTAGGCTTCTCTGTCAATCCTGTAATTGTGGTTGTGGTGGTTTCCTATGTCTTGATCCAGTTTTGCACTGGTCTCTTGAAGAGGCCCTTAGACAACATTTTACTCCACATTAAGAACTGATTAAATTAGAAGAGGTCACAGTTGCAATTGGAGCAGGGGCACAAACAAGGAACATAATAAGAGAACCAAAACCATAAAATGGATAGTGAAGAGTTAACAGTTTTATGCTGCCCCTAAAGTTTTCTTTGTCTCCCTTATTTATCCTGTCCTAATATAAGCATTGAATCTCACCTGTGAATTAAAAGACAGCAAATTTAGAATGTGTAGGAGTAGGTGAGTCTTTCAGCCATGTGTGGGGGTGCAAAGTACATCCTAACTAGCCCTGATTTTTTTTTGTAGATTAAAGACAGCTATGTTTCTCTTTCTCCCATCACATGTTATTTTGCCCAAGTGGTTACGCTTGCCTTTTTTTTTTGTACCAGGGATCGAACTTGGGACCTTTGTACTTGTGAGGCAGGTGGCAGAACCATTGAGCTAAATACCTAGCCCTTGTTTATGCTTTTATCAAATACAAATCCAGTTACTGGATTATATTAGATCTTTTTTTTTTTTTTTTGGTACCAGGGATTGAACTTGGGTCCTTGCACTTGCAAGGCAGGCTACCAAACCACTGAGCTAAATCCCCAGCCCCAGTTACTGGATTATAAATAAACCATCTGACAGCTTCTGCTTCAGTTAGTTGTGAAGATTCTAAATTCCTTCAAAAACAAGTCCTTTTGTAGGTCTAAATTCATCTCCATTATTCATGTTTAAAATGTCCCCCCATTGTTATCAGCCTGCTTTATTCTCCATCATTACCTGAAATGTTGCACTGTGTTAAAATTCCTTCTTGACATGGCCGGGGGGTTAGCTCAGTGGTGCTGCTGCCTGCCTTGCAAGCGCAAGGACCCGAGTTCAATCCCTGGTACCAGAAAAAAACAAACAAGAATTCCTTCTTGACAACAAATCACTGGTGTGGGATTTTTGAAACATGTCCCACTTCAGACATTTGCAGTCTTTTCAGTCTCCTTCTAGCTCCCAGTCTGTTCTATAACGTTATGCAGCCCTCACCCTATTTGCCAAGTACAGTACCTGTTGTTGTACATACTGTATCTACAGAGGCCCTTGAATGAGATCCATAGCTAAGGTGCCAGAACTTCGTTTGATCCTTAATGATACCAAATAATTTAATTTTCTCTAGGACTGTACAAAAATGGCAGTCTTAGAAAATTGGAGGCCAAATATGAGTAGCATAATTAAATTTGGGGTTGGTTTTCCTTGGTGGAGTTCTTTGAGCTCTGGACAACTAACCTAACTGGATGTTTTCATGATAGATCGGGTGTTGGTGCTCCTGTGATTGGTGAGATCGATGGAGAATATCGACATGACAGTCGACGAAATACCTTGGAGTGGTGCCTGCCAGTCATTGATGCCAAAAATAAGAGTGGCAGCCTGGAATTTAGTATTGCTGGGCAGCCCAATGACTTCTTCCCTGTTCAAGTTTCCTTCATCTCCAAAAAGAATTACTGTAACATACAGGTATTTTGTTCAGTAGAGTGCATATATGAGGAAAGCAAAGGACTAGTGCCTGACGGAGATCATAGCTTCATATCAGAGCAAAAATTAGAAAAACTTATGTTTTTTTGCAGATTCCATGTCTGACTGACGATTTTGGTCAAATTCTTCACCTGTTGCACCTTAGATTTCTTAGGTCAGACAAAGTTTAAAAAAAAAAAATTGAGGCTGGGTATGGTGGTCCACACCCATAATCCCAGTATTTGAGAGGCTGAAGCAGGAGGATTGCCACAAGTTAAAGGCCAGCCTGGGCTACCATCGTGAGTTCAAGGACAACCTAGATACATAGGGGGACCCTGTTTCCAATAAAAGCCTTTGAAGGGGCCAGGTATTTAGCTCAGTGGTTCTGCTGCCTGCCTTGCAAGTGCAAGGACCCCAGTTCGATCCCTGGTACCCCCCCCCAAAAAAAAGCCTTTGGGCTAAAATCAGGTGTTAAAAAAAATTGAAGGTGAAGCATGTTAAAGGT